GGTACTGAAAAAATACATTTTGCCATTTGTGACTCTGCTAATCCAATTGATTTATCGTCGGAAAGTGAAGAATCAGAGTCTGATTAACTTAAAACTATTGAAAATTTTTAAATTGTTGCAAAATATTATAACAACAAAAAATGTATTTTTTTTACAAAATTTTTTTTTATAGCGCAGAAACCTAATAAAATCCATTACTCAAATAGAATTACCCGATAATACCAGATTCTTTATCGAAAAAGATTAAAATTTTATAAAATAAAATATAATACACAAAAATAAATAAATAAGTTATTTAATAAAATCTTTTTATTATTAAATTTAAATTATTATTTTTGATCTAATAAGATAGATTTGTATTGAATAGTTTTTTAATTGATTTAAAAATCCTTTCTATATGATTACTTTTGAATGGGAGAATCTGTGCTAAACACTAATTTATAACATTTCCCAGAACTGCAGTTCCTAACTATTTGAATTATTCTGTAAAAATATGATGGTGATTCCATTGAAGGATTGTTGTGGTGGTGGTGGTGGTGGTGAATCGTGAGCTTTTGAATGAAAATCCTGAATGAGACCCTTTTTTAAAATAAATGGAAGTGGTACCGGTGGTGAATTGATAGTGAGCTTTTAAATGTAGAGACGTGATTTGAAACAAGAACATATTGGAACTGAAAATAATGAAAGTATTAAAATTAAATATTAGAAAAGATAATAATAGTTATGTAAATATAATCTTTATTGTTACCTAAATAATTTTTTCTTTTATAAAATAGATACTGGTCGGCACAATTTATTACCAAAATTTTTGAAAGAGATTGGATTATTTCTTTGATGATACACTTGTTAGCTGTTTTCAATTTTATCGACAACTTTTAGCTCTGCTTCAATCTTTTTTTCAACCATTTAGATATTAATTTGATGTTTTAAATTAGAGATCATAAATAGTTGATCTTTTTCTAATTCTTTTTTGGCTTGTTGTTGTTGTTTTAATTGTTCAAATTGGGTTAAACAATTATATATAAAACCAATTAAAACTAATTACTGCAACAAAAAAGAAAAAAAAAAATTTTGAAATTTTAGTTTTAATCTTTCGACTTTCCCCTAGCATTTCCTAAGGTAAAAAATATAATTTAATTTATTATTCACGAGAACATTTCTTTTGTAATATTTTGCTATTGAGATTTTGCTGACACATTTATTTATATTATTGTTTTTTTTATCATCGCTATTATCATCATGTTCACTTCTATTTCGATAGTTATTGTAATTTTTATTTTTATTATTATTGTTGCAACCCTTTGTTTTGATTATTGTAATAATTATTGTTAATATTATATTATAATTATTATTATTAGTATTTATGTTAAATTTATTTTTATATTTAAATATTCCGTTTTAACAATAACTGCTATTTTGTATGAAAAATAAATTAAAAAAATCTGCTTTACATTGCATATCAATAAAAAAATTTAAAAAAATTTAAAAAAAAAAAAAATGGGTAAAAAAAATTTGTAAATTTTGGTTTTTTTTTTATTTTTGACACTATTTAAATATTTTTTTTTTTTTTTTTTTAGAGCCCCAAATTTAAAAAAGACCATTTTTTCTAAAAATAACCCAAATCGAAATCCCTATCTATTTTACTTAAAAAAGAATATTCAGTTTTTTTAACACTGATGTTTAAAAAAAAAATAAAAAGAAATAATGATAAATTATAAAAATATAAACTGATGTATAATAGATAACATCTAAAATTAGTTATTTAAAAATTTTTAAAAATGCTATAAAATAAAAAAAAATTAAAAAAAAATATTTTCAATTTTAAATTATATATTAAATAAAAAAATGAAAAAAATAATTATTTGTATTTTCTTTATATTTTTTATTTCTAAAATTTATTCATATGGACAAAGTAAATATTTTTTTAAAAATTAAAATTATTTTTATTACTTTTACTAATATTTTTTTATAGGTTTGGTATACTACAACAGAACATATATTGAATTTGACACAGAGTTGCCACGAACAGCTAATTTTACTTTATGTGATGATTTTGGTTGTAAAATTAAAAAAGAGACATATCCAGTAATATGCAACAGTGAAAAATGTGTTATGAAATTAAATGAAACTCAGATAAAAAACTTTTATGGAAATAATATTAAAAGATGCACCATTAATAAACTTGATGTTTTATGTAATCAACCAATTGACCAGAATAACTTTATGTTCCCAATAAATTATGCTCTCTCTGGATTACCATCGACTGAAGGTGGTAAACTTCAACTTACCGGAAATTATTTAAGAACTTTTGTTAATAATTATTACATTGTGGAAGGATCTCATAGAGGTGAAAAATTTAAACTTAATGTTGATAAAGAGAATTTTAACCCTGAAAATTTAACTGTAAATTTCCCACCTGGTTATGGAAGTTTTAAATTGTATCCTGATTCTTCACAAAGTCGATCAATGCATTTAAGCTATGCCCCTCCTTATATATCCCAATGTAACTATAAAGACTCAAAGATAACATTAAACGGTTTTAATTTTCACAATGAAGGAAGAGTTGCTCAGGTTACTGTTAATGGACGACGTAAATATATTTCTTCAATTGATCATCGTTTATTAATACTTGATTATTATTTTATTGAGCATTCTGAAAGATTATATATAAATGTAATTATTGGGGATGTTGCAATAGAAAAAATTTATAAATGTGATATAAAACCACAACCTGTGTCGATTACTACAACTGTATCAACTTCAAAATATAATAGTGGTATAATTACAATATCTGGAAGTTTTATGTATTCACCTGGATCATTAAGTACAAAAGTATTTTTAATCAATAGTGATAATAAAAGCTATAATTGTGAATATATATCATCAACAAAATCTAAAATTGTTTGTTTATTGGAACCTGGTGAAGGATTAATAAATAAAGTTAAAATTAAAATAGATGATGTTGAAAGTTTGACTGAAATAAATTTTAAATATGGTTTCCCTCAATTTACATCAACAAAAGCAATTCAAATTGATAGAACAAACGAATTTTCAATAACAGGTATTAACTTTGGTAATATTAACGATAAAAATGGTACAGTTAAAATTTTAATTGAAGGAAATGAAAATAAAGAAATATTGCCAACATCAATAAGTAATGATGAAACTAAATTATCATTTAAATTACCAAATATATGTGAAACATCTTTAATAGTATCAATTGAAGTCAATGGTGTTATTTCAAAAAAAATGAGAATAGAACCACAACCTACATTTATGTTAGCTCCATCAAGACCATTAACAAATGGATCATCATTACATATTGATAAATACTTTTCATGTAAAGATAAAATTGTAAAACCATCTATTACTGTTGATAGTTCTAATAATCATATTGATTGTACTATAATTTCAAGTTTTGTAGCAAGCTGTAATGTTGGTATTGGAACTGGTAAACATTCATTAACATTTTATGAAGATGGTATTGAAAAAATCAATTTATCTTTTCAATATGCACCACCAACAATTGTATCACATAATGTTAATGGGTTAAAAACAATTACATTAACTGGTAATAACTTTGGTAATGATTCATCAAAATGTAATTTAATATTTGCAAATAAAAATGTAACATGTAAAGTTATCAGTGATACAACTATAACATTCGATGCAGATTCACAATATGATTATGGTAATGTTAGTCTTATAATCGATAGTATTCAAATGTCAAATGATAACTATAAAATAATGTTACCATCAATAATTGGATTGGTAAAAGATAATAATATTTCAACAAGAAATGGAACAGTGTGTATTCATGCCTCAAGATTACCTGAAACTAAATCTGGTGTCAATAATGCAAATAATGTTACAGTTGAAATTAAATCACATTTAAAAGATGGTACAAATACATTTAAAGACTATAATGTTTCAAATAATATGATTTGTGTATTATTAAATGATGGATATGTTGGTACATTTGATTTATCAGTATTCATTTACAATGAATTCATTTCAAAATATACAATATCATACAACAAACCATATTTTAGTTTAATTAATATTAAAGATGGTGGTAATAATACTTATCAGTTTGAAGTATATGGTAATGAATTCGGTGAACCATTTGAAATTCATTTTAATTCATCAAAAGGTGATTTAATAATGAACTGCGCATTCAATATTTCAATACAACACAATAATAATGATTTATACAATTGTAGTTTCCCCAAAATCAATATTGATTCAATTAAAGATGGCAATGAACAATTATACTTAAAAATAGGTGAGTCTAAATATCCAATTAATGCAAAATTAAACAAGGAACCCGATTACAATAGTAGTACATTGAAGAAGGTATTAATTCCAACACTTGTCGGTGGTGCTGCATTGTGTACTGTTGCGTTTATTGGTTATAAATATAGAGAAAATATTTTTAAAAAAATTGATAAACTAAAAAATGGCAAAAAAAATGTATAATTATTGTAGAAGCAAACAGAATTTTTGTTGTTTCAAAAAAATTTAGCGAATTACAAAATATATTTTAATAATAAAAAAAAATAATCAGATTATAAAAAAAATTAAAATATTAGTTTTTATTTTTATTTATTTCTTTTTCAAAATAGTTATTTCTTTTGATGATTTTATATGGTGTCATAATTTCTTAATAAAAAAAAAAATGGTTAATGTCCTATTTTGAAGAAAAAAATTATTTATCACACCAATTTATAAAAAAAAAACATTTTAAAATTGTTTGTAAAAATCTTATCATTTAAAAAATTCATCAGCATCCCCTCCAAATACCTTTAAGAAAGTGTTAAAAAACAGTGAGATTTAAATCACCACCATCCAAATGCCCAATTTTGAAATTATCATTTTAATTTTTTAAAAAAAATACACATAAAAAATATTTTGTAAAAGGAAGTCTTAAAAAAACAGTGAGATTTAAATCACCACCCACTTTAACAATTTTTTTTTTTTTTTTAATTTTTTTTTTTTAATTTTTTTTTATTGTTAAAGTGGTTCAAGTTTTCCCACACATTTTTTTTTTCAAAATTTAAAAAAAAATTAAAAATTTGAGCAAAATTGGTTCGCTTTTGCAATAATTTTTTTTAATTTTTTTTTATTTTTATTGTGTGAGTCGACCAAATTTGCGCAATCATAAAAAAAAAAATTTTTTTAACAAAATTCCTGCGCAAACTTGACCAACTTTTACAATATTTTTATTTTTATTTTTATTTTTATTTTTATTTTTATTTTTATTTTTATCTTTATTTTCATTTTTAATTGAAAGCAACATTATTAAACATGGTAAATATTTGCTAATGGATAATGCACCAATTCATACAAGTCGAATTGATCAAGTTGTTACCAAAGCTCAAGCTGCAGGTGCTCAAGTAAGAAACTATTTAGACAAAGAAATATTTTACGATTAAATATTTAAGATAAATAAAAAGAAAATGAATAAACAAATTAATAAATAAATCTCAAAATTCAATCTCAAAGTAAATATAATTTTTTAATTAATTAACTTTTATTAAATAATACTAATTCATTTTTTTTTTTCAGTATCTTTTCTAAAAGATGTAGATTAAAAATAAAGATTAAACTCTCAAGCTGGAACTCTATTTTCACAATATCTCGGTGAGACTAGTAAAATAAAACCTTCTGGAGTACCGAAGATGCCTGATTTCAAATTTCATGAAAGCAAATTTGTCATCAACAAAAGTAATCTTATTTCTTTAATGGCAAACAAAGCACTACCCTCATTAAAGCCTCCTCTAGTATCACCACTTTCGATCAAAGTAAAAGGACCATCTAAAATGCTACCCCAATCTCAGAAACAGCTAGATTATCACAAAAGGTGTGCTAATATTTTTTAGAATAGAGCGAAAATCTTTTCTAAAATTGCAGAGATTGAAGGTACTGAAAAAATACATTTTGCCATTTGTGATTCTGCTAATCCAATTGATTTATCGTCGGAAAGTGAAGAATCAGAGTCTGATTAACTTTAAAGCCGTTATATAAAAACAAAATTAAACATTATAAACACCTAAAACCAAATCCAATTTTAGAGAGACAATTAAAAGAACCTTTACAAATAAATAATATTATAAAAACAAATAAATAAAAAAGATAACTGCAATAAAAAAAAAGAAACAAAAAAAAATAATTAAAAACAAATAAATATAAACAAATTAATGTAAAGTTATTTTAAAATTATCATTTATCTATTAAAAATATTTTATTTTTATAATATTATTGTTATAAACCTAAAGGTTGATATTGACCATATACAATACTTTTTTTCTTTCCAATATAATTATGTCATATTTGATGACTCAAAAAAAAAACTTTTTTAAATACAAATTTAATGTTATTATTTCCAATCCCCAAATCACAACCATTGATTCATATAATCTTATGAAAATTCCTAATTAATTTAACAGTTTTATTAAATTTTTAAGTTGCAAAGAATGACTGTTTACTTTATTAAGGTATTGCTTGTCATTGAAAATCTTTTAATCCTTGCATATACTTTTCTGACAATTAATTAGTGATTAAAATTCAAAATGTATTTTCTAAAATTAAAAAATTTTCGACAAGCAATATTTTAAGATATAAATTTAAACAGGAAATTCCTTAGATAATGTTTTAAAAATATTTCATACAATATCGAGTAAAGTTGTATTTTTTGTTAATTGTTATTTAGGGATTAGAAATAATAACATCGATGTAATAATGAATATAAAATTATTATAAAAAATATTATATATCTTCAAAAAATAAAAAAAAAAATTTTTTTTTTTTAATTTTTTTTTTTTTTTTTTGTTTTTTTTTTGTTTTTTTTTTTTTTGAGTTATAAAGGAAAACCTTTTTTTTAATAATTTTTAGAGAATTTTTTTTTTTAATAAATTAAATTTTTATTTCTTGGTTTTTTTTAAAAAAAGCACCTTGGGCTTTAAGGGTTAAAAAATATTAATGAGAAAAAAAAAATCTGGCATATATGGGACATATTTTTTACACTTTTTAAAACTAATTGAAATATTTTTTTTTTTTAGAGCCACAAAAAAAAAAAAAAAAAGAACTATTGGCCAAGAAATTGCCTTCAAAAAAAGTTTCTATTTGACCCTTTTGGTAAACTAAAAAAGATCCATTTTTTCTAAAAATAACCCAAATCGAAATCCCTATCTATTTTACTTACAAAACAATAGCCAATTTTTTTAACACTGATGTTTAAAAAAAATAAAAAGAAATATTTATTAATTAAAAACTGATGTATAATAAATATGATAGATCACATTTAAAATTAGTGATTTAAAAATTTTTAAAAATGCTATAAAATAAAAAAAAAAAAATATATTTTCAATTTTGATATGTAATTTATATTAAATAAAAAAATGAAAAAAATAATTATTTTTATTTTCTTTATATTTTTTATTTCTAAAATTTATTCACAATGGGAGCAAAGTAAATATTTTTAAAATTAAATAAAATTTTTTTTATTACTTTTGCTAATATTTTTTTATAGGTTTGTTATACTACAACAGAACATATATCGAATTTGACACAAAGTTGCCACGAACAATTAATTTTACCTTATATGATGATCGTCAATGTAAAATTAAAAAAGATTCATATTCAATAACATGCAGCAGTGAAAAATGTGTTATGGTATTAAATGAAAATCAGATAAAAAACTTTTATGGTAATAATATAAAAAGATGCAAGGTTAAAGATTTTGATGTTTTATGTGATGAACTAATTGACAATGAAAACTATATGTTTCCAATAAATTATGCTCTCTCTGGATTACCATCGACTGAAGGTGGTAAACTTCAACTTACTGGTAATTATTTAAGAACTTATGTTACTGATTATTATATTGTGGATGTAATTCAAAGAGATGAAAAATATATAGGTCTTAGTGTTGATAGAGAGAATTTTGACCCTGAAAATTTAACTGTAAATTTCCCACCTGGTTATGGAAGTTTTAGATTGTATCCTGATGCTTCTATGCATAAAAACATAATGTATTTAAACTATGCTCCTCCTTATATATCTCAATGTATTTACAAAGACTCAATGGTCATATTAAACGGTTTTAATTTTTACAATAACCAATCAGTTGCTCAGGTTTATATTAATGGAGTAAAAGTTTCAATTGTTTCAATAGATCATCGTTTATTAAAACTTGATTATTTTACTGAGTATTCTCAAAAATTAAATATAAATGTAACCATTGGGAATGTCTCATTAGAAAATATTTATACATATGATATAAAACCACAACCTGTGTCGATTACTACAACTGTATCAACTTCAAAATATAATAGTGGTGTAATAACAATTACTGGAAGTTATATGTCATCATCTCAAACATCAAGTACGACCATATCCTTAATCAGTAGTGATAATAAAAGCTATAATTGTGAATATTTATCATCAACAAAATCTCAAATAGTTTGTTTATTGGAACCTGGTGAAGGATTAATAAATAGAGTTAAAATTAAAATAGATGATGTTGAAAGTTTGATTGAAATAAACTTTAAATATGGTGTCCCTCAATTTACATCAACAAATGCAATTCAAATTGATAGAACAAACGAATTTTCATTGACAGGTATTAACTTTGGTAATATTAACGATAAAAATGGTACAGTTAAACTTTTAATTGATGGAAATGAAAATAAAGAAATAATAACAACATCAATAAGTAATGATGAAACTAAATTATCATTTAAATTACCAAATATATGTGAAACATCTGTAAAACTATCAATTGAAGTTAATGGTGTTATTTCAAATAATAGTATAGTTATAAAACTACAACCTACAGTTATGTTAACTCCATCAAGACCATTAACAAATGGATCATCATTACATATTGATAAATACTTTTCATGTAAAGATAAAATTGTAAAACCATCTATTACTGTTGATAGTTCTAATAATCATATTGATTGTACTATAATTTCAAGTTTTGTAGCAAGCTGTAATGTTGGTATTGGAACTGGTAAACATTCATTAACATTTTATGAAGATGGTATTGAAAAAATCAATTTATCTTTTCAATATGCACCACCAACAATTGTATCACATAATGTTAATGGGTTAAAAACAATTACATTAACTGGTAATAACTTTGGTAATGATTCATCAAAATGTAATTTAATATTTGCAAATAAAAATGTAACATGTAAAGTTATCAGTGATACAACTATAACATTCGATGCAGATTCACAATATGATTATGGTAATGTTAGTCTTATAATCGATAGTATTCAAATGTCAAATGATAACTATAAAATAATGTTACCATCAATAATTGGATTGGTAAAAGATAATAATATTTCAACAAGAAATGGAACAGTGTGTATTCATGCCTCAAGATTACCTGAAACTAAATCTGGTGTCAATAATGCAAACAATGTTACAGTTGAAATTAAATCACATTTAAAAGATGGTACAAATACATTTAAAGACTATAATGTTTCAAATAATATGATTTGTGTATTATTAAATGATGGATATGTTGGTACATTTGATTTATCAGTATTCATTTACAATGAATTCATTTCAAAATATACAGTATCATACAACAAACCATATTTTAGTTTAATAAATATTATAGATGGTGGTAATACTTATCAGTTTGAAGTATATGGTAATGAATTCGGTGAACCATTTGAAATTCATTTTAATTCATCAAAAGGTGATTTAATAATGAACTGCGCATTCAATATTTCAATACAACACAATAATAATGATTTATACAATTGTAGTTTCCCCAAAATCAATATTGATTCAATTAAAGATGGCAATGAACAATTATACTTAAAAATAGGTGAGTCTAAATATCTAATTAATGAAAAATTAAACAAGGAACCCGATTACAATAGTAGTACATTGAAGAAGGTATTAATTCCAACACTTGTCGGTGGTGCTGCATTGTGTGCCGCTGCATTTATTGGTTATAAATATAGAGAAAATATTTTTAAAAAAATTGATAAACTAAAAAATGGCAAATCAAATGTATAATTATAAAAACAAAATTATAAACTAAATTATAAAAACCAGTTTATTAAATTTAAAATAAATATAAATATATATATCAATTTAAATTTTTAAATCAATTTTATTTTATTTTTTTTTTTTGTTTGATTTTATTATCTATGAAGATTAAAAATTATTATTACAATGTGGGATATATTTTCTTCCAATATAATTGTATAGTTTTTATGATCTTAACCCTCTTATAAATACTTTTGAGTTTCAAAAATTTCCTTTGGTAAAAAATATCATTTCTTTTGTAATATTTTTCCCTTGAGGTTTTATGATTATACACCGATTTTGTTATTATTATTGTTATATATTTTCAAAAAAAAATTCCATATGTTTGTATCTTGAATACAATTTCTAAGATTTGCGAAATTCATTAAATCACAATATGAATTTTTATTATTTCCCAATTTGAGTCAAATTATAGCTATCACTATTACTGTTACTGTTATTGGTGAAAATTTTGTTAATATTGTAGTAATTGTTGTTGCAAAAATGGTTTTTTAACACCGTGGTCTGTGGGGTTTATTTAATTTTTTTTTTAAATTGTTTTGTAAATTTTTAACACTTTTTAAAACTATAATAATATGTTTTTTTTTTTTAGAGCCAGAAACTAAAAAAAGAACCTGAGAGGGTGATATTGTTTTCAAAAAAGCGTATATTTGACCCTTTTGTTAAACTAAAAAAAGACCCAAATTTTCTAAAAATAACCCAAATCGAGATCCCTATCTATTTTACTTATTAAAGTATATTCAATTTTTTTAACACTGATTTTAAAAAAAATATAAAAAGAAATAATGATAAAATATAAACTGATGTATAATAAATATGATAGATCACATTTAAAATTAGTGATTTAAAAATTTAAAAATACTATAAAAAAAAATATATTTTCAATTTTTGTAATTTATATTAAATAAAAACATGAAAAAAATAATTATTTGTATTTTCTTTATATTTTTTATTTCTAAAATTTATTCATATGGACAAAGTAAATATTATTAAAATTTATATAAATTATTTTTATTACTTTTACTAATATTTTTTTATAGATTTGGTATACTACACCAGATCATATATTGAATTTGACCTAACGTGGCCACGAACAGTTAGTTTTACCTTATGTGATGATCGTGATTGTAAAATTAAAAAAGAGACATATCCAGTAATATGCAACAGTGAAAAATGTATTATGGAATTAAATGAAACTCAGATAAAAAACTTTTATGGAAATAATATGGAAAGATGCTTTTATCAATTTTATTATGAATGTGATCAACCAATTAACCCTGAAAACTTTATGTATCCAAAAAACAATGCTCTCTCTGGATTACCATCGACTGAAGGTGGTAAACTTCAACTTACTGGTAATTATTTAAGAAGTTATGTTAATAATTATTATATTGTGGATGGAATTCAAAGAGGTAAATCATTTAATCTTGATGTTGATAGAGAGAATTTTGACCCTGAAAATTTAACTGTAAATTTCCCACCTGGTTATGGAAGTTTTATACTGCATCTTGATAAAAATTTTAGAATATCAATGTTATTAAACTATGCTCCTCCTTATATATCTCAATGTAGTTATAAAGACTCAATTCTCACATTAAACGGTTTTAATTTTTACAATAACCAATCAGTTGCTCAGGTTTATATTAATGGAGTAAAAGTTTCAATTGTTTCAATAGATCATCGTTTATTAAAACTTGATTATTATTTAATTTATTATTCACAAAGAATAAATATAAATATAATTATTGGGGATGTTGCATTAGAAAATATTTTTACTTGTGATATAAAACCACCACCTGTTTCGATTACTACAACTGTATCAACTTCAAAATATAATAGTGGTATAATTACAATTACTGGAAATTATATGTTATCATCTCAAACATCAAGTACAAATGTATCTTTAATCAGTAGTGAAAATAAAAGCTATAATTGTGAATATATATCATCAACAAAATCCCAAATAGTTTGTTTATTGGAACCTGGTGAAGGATTAATAAATAAAGTTAAAATTAAAATAGATGATGTTGAAAATTTGGCTGAAATAAACTTTAAATATGGTGTCCCTCAATTTACATCAACAAATGCAATTCAAATTGATAGAACAAACGAATTCTCATTGACAGGTATTAACTTTGGTAATATTAACGATAAAAATGGTACAGTTAAACTTTTAATTGATGGAAATGAAAATAAAGAAATAATAACAACATCAATAAGTAATGATGAAACTAAATTATCATTTAAATTACCAAATATATGTGAAACATCTGTAAAACTATCAATTGAAGTCAATGGTGCTATTTCAAATAATAGTATAGTTATAAAACCACAACCTACATTTATATTAGCTCCATCAAGACCATTAACAAATGGATCATCATTACATATTGATAAATACTTTTTATGTAAAGATAAAATTGTAAAACCATCTATTACTGTTGATAGTTCTAATAATCATATTGATTGTACTATAATTTCAAGTTTTGTAGCAAGCTGTAATGTTGGTGTTGGAACTGGTAAACATTCATTTAAATTTTATGAAGATGGTATTGAAAAAATCAATTTATTTTTTCAATATGCACCACCAACAATTGTATCACATAATGTTAATGGGTTAAAAACAATTACATTAACTGGTAATAACTTTGGTATTGATTCATCAAAATGTAATTTAATATTTGCAAATAAAAATGTAACATGTAAAGTTATCAGTGATACAACTATAACATTCGATGCAGATTCACAATATGATTATGGTAATGTTAGTCTTATAATCGATAGTATTCAAATGTCAAATGATAACTATATAATAATGCTAAACTTTGAAAACAAAGAACATGATAATAAAAGTAAAAAAATAGAGAAAGTATTAATTCCAACACTTGTATGTGGTGCTGCATTATGTGCTGCTGCATTTATTGGTTATAAATATAGAGAAAATATATTTAAAAAAATTGATAAACTAAAAAATGGCAAATCAAATGTAAAATTATAAAAACAAAATTATTAAAACCAGTTTAAAATAAATATAACGATTTAAATTTTTTTAAATCAATTTTATTTTTCAATTGTTTGATTTTATTCATGAGAATAATTCCAATATATAATTGTATCATTTCTTTTGTAATATTTTGCCCTTGAGTTTTTATGTATTTTGTAATTATTATTGTTATATATTATATCTTCAATTGAAATTTCCATATTTTTTCATATATTAAAAATAAATTAAAAAAATCTGCTTAACATAATGAGCTACTTGAAAAATATTATAAATGAATCATTTTCATATGTTAATTATCTAACTCATACTAAAAAGTTCATTCACCTTTTCTTGTTTACTTTAAAATAAAATGAATGATTTTTTTAGAATATAAACTCATTTTTATTAATATTAATTAATAAAAGTCAAAGTTAAATGTTATTATTATTTTTTAAATGATTAATATTTTTTTATTTATGTATATTAAAAAGATCAATTAAATAAATTTTTTTAGTAATTATTTTTAATATAATCCAGTATTTTTTTTACCAAAAATATTAATTTAAAAAAATACTGTTAATAAAAAAAATTAATGAAATTAAATCTATAAATGGGTTGTGGGGAAATTTTTTATTAATCGAGTTTTGTATTTTTTAAATAATTATATTATAAATTATAAAAATAACACAAAATTAAAAATATTTAAATAATTTAAATGATAGTTTAATTATTTAATTTTTTTGCAAAAATTTTTTTTTTTTAATATAAAATTTTTTTTTTAATATAAAATTTTAACACTTTTTAAAACTATTGAAATATTTTTTTTTTTTTTTAGAACCACAAACTAAAAAAGAATCTGAGGCTGGGGAATTGCCTTCATAAAAAGCTTATATTTGACCCTTTTGTTAAACTAAAAAAAGATCCATTTTTTCTAAAAATAACCCAAATCGAAATCCCTATCTATTTTACTGAGGTTCAAAAAATATTAAAAGAAATAATAATAAATTAAAAACTGATGAATAATAGATCACGTCTAAAATTAGTGATTTAAAAATTTTAAAAATGCTATAAAATAAAAAAAAATTAAAAAAAAAAAAAATTTTAATTTTGAATAGTAATTTATATTTAATAAAAAATGAAAAAAATAATTATTTCTATTTTCTTTATATTTTTTATTTCTAAAATTTATTCATATGGACCAGGTAAATATTTTTAAATTTTATTTAAATTATTTTTATTACTTTTGCTAATATTTTTTTTATAGATTTGGTATACTACAACAGATCATATATTGAATTTGAAACAAAATATCCACAAACCATTCATTATACCTTATGTGAAGATCGTGATTGTAAAATTATAAAAGAGATATATCCAGTAATATGCAGCATTGAAAAATGTGTTATGGAATTAAATGAAACTCAGATAAAAAATTTTTATGGAAATAATATGCTAAGATTGGTTAATCATTATTATTATCGTGAGGAATATAATTTTATTGCCTCTTCTAGCTTTATGTATGCAATAAATTATGCTCTCTCTGAATTACCATCGACTGAAGGTGGTAAAGCTCAACTTACTGGTAATTATTTAAGACATTATGTTAATGATTATTACACTGTGGAAGGATTTCAAAGAGGTAAATCATTTAATCTTGATGTTGATAGAGAGAATTTTGACCCTGAAAATTTAACTCTAAATTTCCCACCTGGTTATGGAAGTTTTATATTGCATCTTGATAAAACTTATAGAATATCAATGTTATTAAACTATGCCCCTCCTTGTATATCTCAATGTATCTATAAAGACTCAAAGATCACATTAAACGGTTTTAATTTTTACAATAACCAATCACTTGCTCAGGTTTATATTAATGGAGAAAAAGTTTCAATTATTTCAATAGATCATCGTTTATTAAAACTTGACTATTATTTTATTGATTATTCTCAAAGATTAAATATAAAAATAATTATTGGGGATATTTCATCAAAAAATAACTATACTTGTGATATAAAACCACAACCTGTTTCGATTACTACAACTGTATCAACTTCAAAATATAATAGTGGTATAATTACAATTTCTGGAAATTATATGTCATCATCTCAAACATCAAGTACAAATGTATCTTTAATCAGTAGTGAAAATAAAAGCTATAATTGTGAATATATATCATCAACAAAATCTCATATAGTTTGTTTATTGGAACCTGGTGAAGGATTAATAAATAAGGTTAAAATTAAAATAGGTGATGTTGAAAGTTTAACTGAAATGAACTTTAAATTTGGTGTCCCTCAATTTACATCAACAAATGCAATTCAAATTGATAGAACAAACGAATTTTCATTGACAGGTATTAACTTTGGTAATATTAACGATAAAAATGGTACAGTTAAACTTTTAATTGATGGAAATGAAAATAAAGAAATAATAACAACATCAATAAGTAATGATGAAACTAAATTATCATTTAAATTACCAAATATATGTGAAACATCTGTAAAACTATCAATTGAAGTCAATGGTGCTATTTCAAATAATAGTATAATTATAAAACCACAACCTACATTTATATCGGTTCCATCAAGACCATTAACAAATGGATCATCATTACATATTGATAAATACTTTTCATGTAAAGATAAAATTGTAAAACCATCTATTACTGTTGATAGTTCTAATAATCATATTGATTGTACTATAATTTCAAATCTTGCAAGTTGTAATGTTGGTGTTGGAACTGGTAAACATTCATTTAAATTTTATGAAGATGGTATTGAAAAAATCGATTCATTATTTCAATATGCACCACCAACAATTGTATCACATAATGTCAATGGGTTAAAAACAATTACATTAACTGGTTATAACTTTGGTATTGATTCATCAAAATGTAATTTAATATTTGCAAATAAAAATGTAACATGTAAAGTTATCAGTGATACAACTATAACATTCAATACAAGTTCACAATATGATTATGGTAATGTTAGTCTTATAATCGATAGTATTCCAATGTCAAATGAAAACTATAAAATAATGCTAAACTTTGAAAACAAGGAACCCGATAACAAAAGTAGTCCATTGAAGAAAATATTAATCCCAACACTTGTCGGAGGTTTTGCATTGTGTACCGCTGCATTTATTGGTTATAAATATAGAGAAAATATATTTAAAAAAATTAATAAACTTAAAAATGGCAAATCAAATGTATAATTAATTGATAAAAACTAGTTTATTAAATAAATATAAATATATATTGATAATTTAAATTTTTTTATATCAACTTTAGAAATTTCTTACTCAATTGTGGGATAACTTTTTTCTTTCCAATATATTTTTGTATTATTTCTTTGATAACCTTCGTTTAAATACTTTTGAGTTCCTATACTTTAAAATAATTGTATTTATTTCTTTTTTATCTTTGATTTTTTAATCATTTGAATAAAAGGCTCATCATCTTGATTGTATGTATTGTATTCTTTCGCTGGTGTTTTATTTGTGGATAATTGAAATTTTATTTTCTCTATATTTTTCTCTGAAAAACATTTATTGTCTATAAAAAATATGTTCGCATATTAATTAATTTAATTAAATTATAAAAAAATATGGATATCAGTGATTCTAAAGAAAATAGAAATGATTTAGATGGAAAGATTAAAGATAATATCGAAATTCACCCCCAAGATGCCCATGTAAATACTGTTGGAAATATGAATGCTAGCGATGGAGAAAATAAGAGTGAATATAATGAAGACTCTGAAGATAGTGCCCAAGATGAAAATGAAGATGAAAGTGAAGAAGATGAAGAAGAGAAAGGCGGAAACGAATATGTAGATGAAGCTCTTAAATATGATATCAATTTTATAAATTATAATCAAGTACCTACTTCCCAATTAATTAAAGCTCAAATAAACAATGGGTTTGAAAATGCACACTTAGTAAATAATATTATCCAAAATTCAATAAATAATCCAAATATTAAAAATAATAATGATATAAATAACCAACTTCAAAATATTCAAAAAGCACACAAAATCCAAATAGATACCCAAAATAAAAATTTAAGAGAAATTGGGATTTTACAAAATAAAAAAGAAAAAATTGAAGAACAATATCAAATCAAAATGAAGAAACTATTAAATATTCAAGCAAATAGATTAGAGTCATTTGAACAAGATATACATAATCCTGATAATAAAATTAATTATGATGATTACTTAATTAAATTAATATATACTTTAAGGAGATTACACATTCAATCATTTAGAGAATTTAGATGTTTATATAACATGTATTATCAATATAGAATTACAGTTGATGGGCTAAAAGTCGCCCCAGGCGACCCAAAACTAATGAAACATGAATTTTTTGATTTTGATAATTCTTTTTTTTACAAATATTTATTCAATTATAAACTTCAAAATGACATTAATAATAGCAAAAACATCAATAATAACAATAACAATAATAGTAATGAAAATTTTATAAACAGTAATAACTCAAGAGACACAACCACTACTACCACTAATCAATATAAAAGATTCAAAACTGATAACGATGTAAGTTGTTATTTTACTTTAAATATAGTTTTTAGTTAGAACTAACTTGCAAACTCTAAATTTATTTATATTAGATTTTTTGTGACAAATTTTTAAATAGTATTAGTTCAAATGAAATTAATTTCGCTGACTCCAGTTCATTTACCAAAAGAGAAACACATCTTTTAAAAATGTTAAAACAATCAGAAAAAGACAAGAGTAAAAAAGAGAAAATTATTGATGAGTTACAAAGAGATGTAACTTTTTATAGTGAAACATTAATAACAAACAACATCAAAAAGAATAAGAAGATTTTAGAACTAAAAGAAATAATACTCAAAAAAGAGTCTGAAATCGGAACACTTCAAAATAAGTTTGATAGCATTAGAGAATATTTTTCAAAAGTAAGAGAAATTTATGAAAGTGAACAAAACGAAGCTATTGCACAAATTTTTCATTCTGACACCCAAAGTATGAACTTAAAATCAAGTACGGAATACCATGATGAAGCTAAAAAGGAAAGAGATAATGTCACTATAGAATCATTAAAAAAAGAGAATCAATTACTTTTAGAAAAAGTCAATCAAATTGGATTAAAAAACTCCCAATTAGAAAAAGAAAAGGAAAAGCTTCTCTCTTATCATCAAGAAAAAGATTTGAAATATAAAGAATCACCTCAAATTTTACAAGATCCAAACAATGAAACTGGTTCCCAAAATCTTTAAATTGGAAGATAGTTTCAAAAATTTAAAAGAAAGCATTAATAACAATTATAATAATTAAATTACAAGTCCACTTAAAGTTACCATCCCAACTTCTCTAATTAACAATAAAAACACCAACCTTTAAAACCCAATTTAATAATAAATAAATAAATAAATAAATAAAAAAATAAATAAAAAAAATTTTAAAATTTGTATTTTTTACCACAAAATAAAAATTATTTGTTTTTTTTATAAATTTACGTAGAAATAAATTGAATTTAATAATTTTATTCTAATTATAATAGAAAATGAAAATATGGATATAGACACCATGGGTGGAAATTAAACCTTAAAATATATCAACCACCCAGATCATGTTACAAATTTATATTCCGGCAACAATGGTTCAATTGAAACAAAATACTATTGCCATGGCGTTCACCCTCATTCGTTTTGCAATATTATTTTCCACAACCCTCTTATGAATTTAATTTCGAAAAATGAAAATAAAAATAAATAAAAAAATTAAAATTCAAATTATTAGCTGAAAATTTTAATTTTTTACAGCCAATTTTTATTTTTATTTTTTTTACTTTTCAAAATCGAATTCATAATAGGGTTGCAGAAAATAATTTTGAAAAAGTAAAAAAAATAAATAAATTTAGCATACTTTGGGGGGTTAATAATAAAAATTCTTATTTAAAAATTTACTTAATTAAATTTTAAATAATCACTAAAAAAATATTTTATTTAAAGTTTAGAAATTTATTTGTTATTGACTAAAAAACTAATTAATAATTTTTTGTTTGAATTGTCAATGTTATTAGATGTATTATTATTCATATTATTATTATTCATATTATTATTATTATTATTCATATTATTATTCATATTGTTATTCATATTATTATTATTATTCATATTATAATTATAACTGATAACACCATTATTAATATTATTGTCTGGAATAGTATCAAAAACAATGTTTCTGTTGATATTTAAATTGACATCATTGGAAAGCTTTGTCATATTTGTAGTATCAATATTTGTTTTATAGTAATTGGAATATGAATTAAAGTTTGGATTGTAGGTATAATTGTAATTATTATTCATTTTCATATTCATATTATTTATATTATGAGTGGTATTATTGAATGAATAATTACAGTTGTTATTATTATTAATACTATTAATACTATTATTATTACCGATGTTATTATTAAAAATATTATTTTGATTGGACAAATGATTAAATGGTGCAGCTCTATTATAAGATCTAAAACCGACAAAATCCTCTAAAACAGTGATATGTTTGTTATTATTATTATTATTATTACTATTATTAATATCATTATTATTATTATTATAGATATTAACATTGTTATTGTTAAAAAAACAAACATTATCGTTCGATTGAATTGGAGTTTGGGTAGCTATCTTCTTTGTGGCAGCAGTGGTGGTAGTAGCAGCAGTAGAAGCAGTAGTAGTAGCAGTATCATCTTGATTTGTTTTTTCATTTAATTCTAAAGTTTTTTGATCCCTTTTTCTTCTTTGGATTAAAAGATCTCTCTTTTTGGATTCTGAGATGTTGGTAATAGAGTAAACTCCATTGTTAAAAGTTTTAATACGTTTTGGTTTATATTCACCCTCTGGAACTGTATCAGTATTAACATCATATTCGTGTTCATAGAAATGATAGAAATTACCAAGATGACGGCTTGGATTGTATGAAGATTTATCGACAATACCATTGCCAATGAATATATGTGTTGTTTTCTTGCTGTTTCTTTTAGATTTGAACCATATTCTGATCTTTTCTTTGGTAACACCATAGATTAATGCAAAGTACGCAATGTTCTCTTCAGCGGGAAATGGGTAATTGTGGAAGAAAAAGTTTAACTCGTTGGTGTTTCTAGAAAACTTTGAGACATATGAATCTCTGTAAGATGTATTGTTAGATCTCCTTAAGTTTTCCCTCTTGTGTTTGAACCATGTGACGACTTGACTGACATTCATTTCTAATTGGCAGGCGATGATCTCTTTCTCGATGGAGTCTGGGAATGGGTTTTTATCGAAGCAATACTCTAATATTGCTTTGGTAATTTTAGCTTTTAATTTTGGATCTACAACATATTCGGAATTTACATCGTTTAGGTCAACTATACCAAAGATAGCATCGGGGGCACTTATAGCATTTAAAGCATTGATAGTAGCAATATTATAGGCCTTATTTTTAACCATCTTTTTATTTATTTTTTTTTTCAAAAAATATATTTATTATAATTTAATTATTTATAATTAATAATAATACACTGCAAAAGAGAAAATGAAATAATGAAAAAAATGAAAAAAAAAAAAATTAAAAATTAAAATAAAAAATAATTTGAAAAAATTAAATTAATTTAGGGTTAAAAATAGAAAAAAATAAAACTGATAATTTTTTTTTGAACTATTGCTTACAGTTATAAAATTTATTTATTTTTTAAATGTTAACAAGTTTAAGTTTACGAGTGCTTAGATACAACGAAATAAAATAGAGGTATTTTTTTATTTTTGTTGAAAAAATTAAAAAAAAAAAAATTATAAAAAAAAAATTATAAAAAAAAAAAAAATTAAAAATTTAATATTTTTTTTTTTTGAAGATATTTTGTGGAGTGATTGAATCCACTGCCACATTTTCAGTGTCTCCAGAGAGATAATAAAAAATTTTATTTTTTGATTATTATTTTTGTTTTTATATTATATAATTTTGTGCGTGTTATGATCAAAATTAAAAACGATAATTCCAAAGATGTTTGCATTGGATTCCAAGCAAACCATATGAATTATCATGTGCTATTCTGATCAGTAATAGCAATTTACAAATTTAGATGCTGGTAATATATAAATATAAAAGTGTTCTCTTTTTTTTTTTTTTGTATGAATCCTTCAAAGAAGATTTTAAAAATTCAGTTATTAAAAAAAAATTGGTGATTTAATAATAATAAAAATAATAATTGCCATAATTAGTAAAATAATCTTAGTTTGCTAAAGTGTTGTCAGAAAAAGGATGGTGAAAAAAAAAAAAAAAAAAAAAAAAAAAATTAAAAGTTAAAAAAAATTTTGAAAAAAATGAAATGGGGCACCTAATTGATTGAATCTTTTTCATTCTTTATTAAAAAAAATGGTTTTTATTTTGTGGGGAAAAAATTTTTTTCAATTATGATAAAGAAAAGCAAATTCTACCCTATAAAACGATATACAATTTAAAACTCTTCTTCAAAATCCAACTATATTGATTAAAAATCCAAATTCAGAGGGCCCTGGGCTCAACCAGGGGAAGGGGGAGGGTTATTTAATATATGACAGGGCAA